AAGAGAGAGAGAGAGAGGAGGGAGACAGACGTACACACACACACACACACACACACACACACACACACAGCTTGGCAGGAGTGAGGCTGCCTGAGCCCCGATGCCGTTGCTAGCTGGGCACTGCCCAGCCCCTGCCTTGATGCCAGCAACCTCCTGAAAGTGGCTGGTGGCCCTCAGCCCCTGCTGAGGTTGGTGGGAGTGGCTGAGGCTGAGGGACTGGCACAGCCAGCGTGCGGGGCCCTGGGGAGAGAGGAATGACTAGTCACGAGAGTCAGACTGGGGCGCTCACTGCTAGCACTTAGCACCACATAGTGAATGTTGTTGTCCTTCAAAGTACATAGTGAATGTTAACCGATTCCTCCTCCCCCTGAGAGGTGGCTAAGTGTCGTTAAACCCCTATCTTACTGATGGGGAAACTGAGGCACGGGGGTGGTGGAAGGAACTTGCCCAAGGCTGCACAGTGAGTCAGTGTCAGGATTAGAACTCAGGCATTCCTGGCCCCCAACCCTATGCTCGAGCCGCTCCACGCCACAGCTCCCTGTTTATACACCTGAATCAGGCTGTACTGCTTGTAGGGGGGGAGGGATAGCTCACTGGTTTGAGCATTGGCCTGCTAAACACAGGATTGTGAGTTTAATTCAGGGGGGGAACAAAAACAGGGACAGTACTTGGTCCTGCTAGTGAAGGCAGAGGACTGGACTCAATTACTTTCAAGGTCCCTTCCAGCTCTATGAGATAGGTATATCTCCACATATAGGCCCCAATGCATCATTGCTCTGCACCTGGTGCACTAGTGTAAAAAGGGTGCAAAATGCTACAGCATTCTGAACTGGTAGCATTTTCACACTCACCTTGCATTGGTGTAAATTACTGCACAAGGGGCAGCACTACAGTGACTTGGACCCTGGTGTCTAATTGTGAACATGTTTAAAAAGACCACAGATCCCACCTGATTTACTGTCTACCTGAGGGCCCAGGTGTCCCATGTGTAAGGTTACCCTTTCTGCCCTCATTATAGAATTCTACACTATAAGTGTTAAGGTTAAGTTCTAATTTCTATTCAAATCGCTCTTTTCAGTCACTCTTAATTTTCTCAAGAAAAGCATTCCTTTTCTACTGCAAAGGCCTATGCTCGGTCTCAAGATTCTTCTTTTTTATTATTTTTGCAAAGTTTCAGACAAATTAATTCAGATTTATCTTAGTTACTAGTGTATGGTGGGGGGGGGGATCCATCCTATGCACCAATGAATAATTTTGCATTTAGGTACCATAAGCGAGAGACTGATTCTAGGCACTGCAAATTTGGCTTGTTGTGCAGATCTCACTGAGATCTGAGACTCAAGTCAAGTTTGAAGACGCTTGCTATTGTAGGTTTAAAGTTACGATCATTTAAAAGGGCCAACTTCACAGCTGCACAGCAGAATTTTTTCCAACTTTAAACGGTCAACGTTTTCAAACGCCTGATCTGATTTTCTTGAACTACAGCTTGATTTTTAAGACTTAGTTAAAAACAGCATGCGCTAGTCACGTGGCTGAGAAAAAGCTTTTCCGATTGGTTCGATCGCTATGTTTTTTATCAGCGTAATCCAGCCTCTCCTATCAGCCCAGCTCCTAGACGTGTGTCGTTGATTACAAAGTTTTGCCAGCAGAGGCTACTTGAAAATGACTTTAGATTTTTTTGGGGGGGGGGGCTGAAATAATCACATTTAGTTGATTGATTGATTAATTAATTGTAATAGCATGTGCCCATCAAACATGATTTACATAGTTTAAAAATAGAATATAGATCTCTATTATCAGAAGTGATTCCAGATTCAAGCTGGAGTTATGTTGACTTCTTTGAAAAATGTCTGCCTCCAGCCATACAAACCTACAGTCTGAAGGGCCACCCAGAGGATTCAGGGGGCCTGGGGCAAAGCAATTTTGGGGGCCCCTTCCATAAAAAAGAAGTTGCAATATTATAGAATACTATATTCTCCTGGGGGCCCCTGCAGGGCCCTGGGCAAATTGCCCCACTTGCCCCCCCCCCGCCCCCCGGGGCGGCCCTGACAGTCTGACAGCAGAATGTGCTTCAGCTGTTATGGCAGCACAAGGGAGGAAAGGTGGTATCTCAGGTAGCTTAAAGAGGCCCAAATCAAGATTGGGCCCCATTGTGCTAGGCGCTGTACATGGTAACAGTCACTCCTGGCCCCCAAAAGCCTACAATCTATAAATAGACAAAACAGAGAAAGGGCAAGTGACTTGTCTGAAGTCAATCAGCAGAGTTAGCATTTGAAGCCAGGGACGGTGGGTCTCGAACACTGCTCTACAACAGTCTTTAGCACTAGCAGGCGCCAACCTACCCTCTTGAGATGGGCTAAGCACTGTCAGAATAAGGACCTGAACTCAGCCAGCAGACCCCCAGTCCTGGGAGCTGATTGGCAAAATGCAGGGAGCCTTGATTGGCCCACAGCCCCTATTTAAACCCAGCACAGGAAGAGGAAGCGGTCTATGGAAGTGGGATTCACTTTGCCTTGGACTGTGTGTCCCTTGTGACTCCTGCTTCTCTGGCTTGACTTCCTGGCCTGATGCTGGTTATCAATCTGCGGTTCTGCTCTTGGGTTTGTCTCCTGCTTCTGATCTCCTGGTAACCTGATCCTTCCTGCCTCCTGACACTCGATTCTCAGTTTGCCCTCTGGCCTGGCTTGGACTCTGACCTCCTGGTATCCGACCCGGCCTGACTCCTGCTTCGACCACTAGGTCAGGCTGCCCATGTCCCGTGGTGACACCAGGTCTCTTGACTCCCAGTGCAGAGGTCTCTCCTGTAGACCGCACCGCCTCTCCATAAGGCAAGGGACCACGTAGGGCAAATGACCCTGTGGCTTCTCTTCAGGTTAGCTCTGCTCTCAGCAGGCTCCGTGGGAGATGGCCGACTTCTCCAAAGCATGGCCAGGGCTTTGGGAAGGCCTGGTGCAGAGGCGGTGCGGTGCTCCGATACCACGGTGATGGACCCATCGGAAATCCACCTACATTTGATAACAGTGTGAGCTATATGGAGGGTGAGCATTGCACAGTATGGGCCGGGCCCTTCAGGAGATGGCAGGGGGGAGGCATAGCCAGCTAATGGGCCGTGACCCGGGCTAGGCATGGCGATGCATTGTCCCTGGCATAGGCTGGGTACACAGCTGTCCTGGGAAATCTGGGTCCTTGGCAAATCCATACAAGTGCCACCCCGTGGCTGCAAGGCCTAAAGTTTAGTCTACGACCCCACCTGGGCCCCGCTGCCCCGCCCTGCCCCCTGTGGGAGAGGCTCATCCCCACTGGAGGGGGAGAGAACACGCCAAGATCCAGTCGTGGGTGGGCGCTGGCGTGGGGGGGCTCCCGATAGCCCAGACACCCCACAGTGTGGCAGTACAAAGGCCACCAGCAGCATTTCCATGTGTCCCTGCTGGCGTGGGAGCCCCAAGAGCCCCCTGCAGCTGCCACTTTGGCAGCATTCCTGGGTCCAGAGCCCAGTAGAGTCTGGACAGACATGAAAAGGGACAATAGGGACTAGGCATGGTGTGGGCAATATATGCCATTGGGCTATGAAATTATGGCTCGGACCATCCTGGCTTTGCCTGGGCACCATCTAGCCTGGATGTGGGAGAGCATGGAGCTGGGTATGCCCATGGATGGGTTGGATTTGGGCACACGGGTGGGTGCAGAATGGACAAGCAGGGCATTGGAGCATCTGGGCACATGGCCCGGGTGTGGCATGGACCCACAGGGCATGGGTGGGTTTGAGCACGTGGCCCGGGTGTGGCCTGGATCCACAGGGCACAGGGGGTTGGGCACGTGGCCTGGGCATGGCATGGATCCACAGGGCACAGGTGGGTTTGGGCACGTGGGCCGGGTATGACCTGGATCCACAGGGCACAGGGGGTTGGGCACGTGGCCTGGGCATGGCATGGATCCACAGGGCACGGGGGTTGGGCACGTGGCCCGGGCGTGGCCTGGATCCACAGGGCACAGGTGGGTTTGGGCACGTGGCCCGGGAGTGGCATGGATCCACAGGGCACGGGTGGGTTTGGGCACGTGGCCTAGGGCGTGGCATGGATCCACAGGGCATGGGTGGGTTTGGGCACGTGGCCTGGATCCACGGGGCACGGGGGGGTTGGGCACGTGGCCCGGGCGTGGCATGGATCCACAGGGCACGGGTGGGTTTGGGCACGTGGGCCGGGTATGACCTGGATCCACAGGGCACAGGGGGGTGGGCACGCGGCCTGCGCAGGGCATGGAGCCAC